ATAAATATTTCGGGTTTTAAAGTGTACAAAACAGAAATAAGAGAGAATATAACTATTTTTCTTAGTTTCTTTTTTTACTTTTTTATTGACTTATTTATTGAATTTATTTTTGGGTGACATTCGATAATAAAATTATTTGGGTTTCAGGTGTATAGTGCCATAATATGTCATCTGTATATTGCATTTTATGTTCACCACCCCAATCAAGTCTCCTTCTATCACCATTTATCCCCGAGGGTATAACAATTTTTCCACTCAACACAATACTCTGAGTTGACAAAGCTACTCATACTTGATCTAACTTTAACATAATTCCTCAATTAACACAGTAATTTATTTATTCAAGCAACTACAACATGCTAGACATGGCTATACTCACTAAATGTAATGGTGAGGTAAAAAAACATTGTCCAGACATGCAAGCATTTTAGTAAAACATTAAAAATGAGTGTAAAATTGTTCAAGTACTATAAATTAGAGTTCAATAACAAGTGGATATCAACATTGACCACTTGAGTAGAGTTCTTGAAAAAAACCATATTCTGTTATAATATTCCACCATAGTTTTGTGTAACATCTCGTTTTTAAGTATTTAGCTCTTAAATTCAGAATTTTTATATAAAGACCTACTGCCTCAGTTTACACTAACAAGATATGCTCTAAAGTGAAACAAATTGGAGAAGCTCTCATATCATTGATGCTTCCCCTAGTTTGTAGATATAAAAACAGATATAAACTTCATAGGCATTTTATGGACCAATTTGAAACATCAGAACTAAGGAATAATCAAAAGACTACATGAATTTTTTTAATACAATGTATGTTTAAACATACAACTATAGACTTTATCTATTCAAAATGTGCAACATCCCAAATCACCAAATCCATGAGTAAGTTACAATAAAATGTAGTTTTCCTTTATTTTGTATTTCTACTATTAGATTCAAAGTATTAAAGATAATATGGATCTTAAAGGATGAATTGAAAAGTAAGATGAAGTGTTAAGTTTTATAATGTATTTTGGAATATGACTGCTTTAGTTCACTATTATGTTTTTATTGGATATAACTGTGGTCCTCTGCAATCTAAATCATGAGCTAAGAGAAAATACAGGAGGCATTTAAAAGCAATATATCAATACAAATAATTGTAGAAAAGTATTTTATCTCAGATAAATATAACTGACACATGATTTTGCTTTTTAGCTATTAGAAGCATGTCAAAATTGTCTTTGTAGTTTTCCAAGATATACCATTTATTAATAACATCCATTATCAATGTATTTTTTTCTTTTAGCTTTTCCTCTCATGCAAATTTTTTCTGTTTCAACTTTTTCAATTTGATCTGGAAATTCACCATAAAATAGAAAGGTTATTGTTATATTTTTAAGTGAGACAATCAAGGTTCAAAGAGACAACTGGTGCACTCTAAGTGTCACACATGTGGAGGTAGAACGTGTATGTCTTAGCTCCCATTTCTAGCCTCTTCCCACTATTTCCTCTGTCTTTTGAATTCCTTCTCATGTCTCTCACAATGAAATGTGAGTCTACTTCTGGGAGACTTCTGGCTCTCCTTCTTTTTCCTGCTCAGTCTTGGTTTCTGACCTCCAAGCGCTTACAATAAACTATAGTAGCATTTACTCAATTGTGCCATATTATCCCCTGAAGGGTCGGGTATGAATTACTTGGGAGGAGGTGTCATGTCTTATTTTACACACATCCCCCAACTCCCCAGAAGCCTTAAGTACACATGCTCAAAAGGCATTCAACAAATATTAAAGCAATTAAGTCAACAGCATTTTAATGTTTTTAATCACAGCTTAATAGTTAAAACAGGAACCACAGTGTAAAGAGGGATGGATGTAATGCCTGCACATTTCTCCTTATGTGTAAAACAAGCAAAGTATTGATCCTCACCACTTTTAATATCTTGCTTATGAGGAGAAACAATCCCAGGAATTGCTTCCTCAGAACCATGGGATGCCTAAGGATGATTTTTCAATGTCAGAAATGTTAATTTACCAGGGCTAAATCATCAATTGTTGAAGTACTTCTCTTAGGAGTGATGCCACTGCCTGGCAAGTTGGCAATTATTCGAGGAGTTATTTCAATAACTGCACAGCTCTTTGTCTGATTAATGAAACTGCCAATGGATTTATAACTCCTGTTACAGAAATGTATCATTGGAGATTTGCTGAATGGTGTGTCATAAATTCCAAACACCTGAGAAATTACGACAGCATTTGATTGGAACAGCTACTTTCATCTCCCCTATTTTCACTAAATTCACTTCTCATTAACTACTGCTGCCACCGTCTGCTCTCAGAGAGGGGAAGAGGGATATTTGTGACAAAATATCCTGTTTGCTAAAGCCATTTTTTTTTCACTGTCTACACTGTCTAAATTTCCTTGTGGACAATATTTACACATGCCAAAGCAGATTTAAATAGGAATAACGTCAGGGAAGAAAGTTTTCTTAGAGTCTCTAATGTTTCTGGTGACTAGAGGCAGATCCAAAAAATGTGGAGAGACACAGCCATAAGACTCAGCAGAATATAAATTATGGGCCAAATACTTTAGGAGGGAGGCCTCAAGTTGAGTGTCATTAGATGCACAGGGCATGAATTATTGTTCCATAACTCAAACCTCAAGATACCCAGATACGATTACAAAAGTACAAATATTGTTGGTGTTTCTCTTAAAGAAGAATACGGTAGTTTTAAGATGACTGTAGAAAAAGCACTACTTAAAATTCCAAAATAATTTATTTTTATTAATATGATGAAATAAGCTGTGTCGAAAATAAGCACTCAGAAATTAGAAAACTTGTCTTAAATCTTATATATATCATATTTAATCTTATATATATCATATATATCATATGATATTATATATATCATAGATTAGATTATTCTCATAATCTAATAGTTATCTCACAAGTTATCTCTATTAAATATGCTTTTTCTTGTAACATGAAAATTCATTTTGAACTAAATAGGTTATTAAGATTATTAACTACCAATAAATGTTTCATAAAAACAAAATAATACAATTTTATGAATCCAAAGATGATCAGGCTTTATGATATGGTTTCCTTGATACAAATCAAATAGAAACACCTCTTAAAAGCTGAACCAGTACAAATTAAAAAACAAACTTACATACATAGAATGAATCCTAGTTCACATCAGTGGAGGCAGATTATCCAAAGACTATAATCTGTTTCTTCATATTTCGAAATACACAAAAAATTGAAGCACATCCCAAAGATGAACTGACTTCCCTTCTTTCAACTCGCACCATACAGTAGGCCTCTAAGAATTACGATGCAAGCTAGAATGTACGTTTTAGTGAGAAAAGATAGCCCTAAAATACACACGGGAGAAATGTAGCATGGGAGTGATGGCATGTGCAACCAAGGATATCAGCCCAAGAATTCCGCCAAACCCACTGCGCCAACAGCCAGAGCAGTATTTATCCTGTGCCAGGCACCCCCGTCAACCTGACATGTGTCAGTGAACCTGATTCACCGAATAATGCTCCCAGCAGTTCTACGAGTCAAGTACTAAGTGTACCTTCATTTTATCGCTGAGGAAACCAAGACACAAAGGCTGCACAGTCGGTACTTCATGAGGAAGGACTGAAGGTCCAGCGCCCTGCTTCAGAGCCCGTGCCCTCGTCCACTCTGACCTACACATTCAACAGCCTCATTCTTCAGAGACGACGCGGAAGCCCCTCAACGCCGCTTAGGGAAATGTCCTCCAACGTGCATCTCATCTATCAGGGTTACAGGAACCGACATCTCGGCGATGTCCCAGACCACTTTTCTTTGCTTTCCATTTCTCTACCTCCCAGTCTCTTCCTTCCTCCACATTCTCAGATTCACATTTTGTAAAAGTGTTAATTTTCTAAGTGGCAATAAGGGATCCCTAAGAGTTTCAGAATTATTCCAAGTAAGAAGAACGATCCCAGCATTGATGTTTGTGTGGCTCAATTAAGACAAGTTGAACAGTATACTTCAGCGATAATCCTCAGCTGGAACAGGCATTGGTTACTTACCAAAGCAGCTGGGAATCTTGAATTTTAATATTTTGTGAACTAAAGAAGGAAAAATTGGAATTCAAAAAGTGTTGGTGATATTTATGGAGTTATACAGTGTCCACTGAACACATATTAACATTCTAGGCAGCAACTATCTTTGCTTATTCTATGAATAACCCTTTTAAGTGTTGCATTCAGAAATCACCACCAGTCAAAATACAGGAAAATCAAATCAATTAAACTGATTTACTATTAATTTTATGTAAAGTATAATTAATAGTCCCCTTGCATGGCTAATAAAGCTAATCGTGGAAGAAATAAAAATTAGTATGCAATACATATAGTCATATTACGTTATCTGTATGTGAGAGCCTCCTTCCAAAGAAAATAAATTAGGAGGCTAATTAAGAGAATATATTCCCCTTCTTCAATTTCTGAAGCCAAAGGGAAAGCTTAAGACAGAGAGGGAAATGATAAATGTCCTTGTGTTGTAAATGTGACAGAGACTCTCTAATAAGACACTAGGTGTAAACAAAGAAGCCTGAACCCTTTAACTACAGACCTGGGATTGGAGAAAACATACAGGTCCTCTAAACAGCCTTAGCACCTCAGAAGCAAACCTCATGGAGATTCAAAACACTATGAGCATGAGCGTGGGATTCCTCTCAGCAGGCACACTGGTACAGAATCAGAAAATGGAGATAAAATAGCTAAAGAATAAAGAAAGCAAACCAGCCAAACTTGCCCAGTAGGCCTACCAGTCATTGAATAAAACAAAGTTTTATTACCAACCGAAGGTAGTAAATTCCTCATATAATTGTCACTGGAGCCCCAATGCCTTGTAAACAAAAGAGCTCATTTTGCATAGTTCATAGCGCACAGTGTTAGAAATTTATATGCCCTTTTCTTAAGGACTAGAGCGTCCTTGAAGACAACCATAGTAAATAAAGAACTACTCACCCACACTGGGAGGACCCAGAAAGTGTCCCTTTCACCAAAACTGTGATAAATTTGTGACAGGCGCCCCAGTATTCCTGAAGAACTCTGGGATTACTCCTCTCCGCCCAGGCCTCACAGTAGAAACTGGAGCCACCTGTTTGGGAAACAAATACAATGAGAGTAATTGGATCCTGGTGTAGAAGGGGTCACGTGGTGGCACTCAACTGCCAAAGGCAAGGTGGGTGTGGTTACCATAAAGGAGAGCTGAGGCCAAGCGGCAATCAAAGCCATCTGACTCAAACAGCTGAAGGCCTTGGTTAATAGATCACGGTATTCCTAGAAGTGAAATATATGTGAAGACTACGAAATTATTACTTGACCTGTATGAGTAGAAAAGTTCTGAGTTAAGTGAACAATAGTCTTACCTAAATCATAGAAACAGTCACAGTCCCTCCTTCCATTCCCAGAATTGAGCCAGTTTATGAGCCAGTTACCCATAACCCCTTGAATGAAGGAGAGGTTGTGCCCGCTTAAGAAAAGACTTTGATACACCATCAAAAAGAACACTGTTAATCTTTCTCCCAGCCTTTCCCAAAGGCACCAACAGCCTTTTACCAGGGTAACTGTGCACTGGGGAAAGGCCATATTTATACCTTTCAGGAAACTGGATCTGAAATGACCCTGATTCCAAGGACCTCAAATGTTATTGTGGCCCATCGGTCAGTAGGAGCTAATGAAGATCAGGTGATCAATGCAGTTTTCGAGCACAGTGATCAGGTGGGTCCCTGAACCCATCCTGTGGTTATTTCCCCACTTTTATAATGTATACAGGTATACCTCAGAAATTTTTCAGATTCAGTTCCAGACCACTGCAATAAGGCGAGTATTGCAATAAAGGGAGTAGTAATCTTTTTGCTGGTGGAGGGCCTTGCCCTCAATTTGTAAAAAACGCAACATCTGTGAAGTGCAATAAAATGAAGGATGGCTGTAATGGTAATAGATACATACTGCAGCTGTCAGAATCCCCACATTGGTTCTTTGATCTGTGGAGCGAGGGCTGTTAGGGTGAGAAAGGCCAAACTGAAGCCACTACAACTCTACCTAGGAAAACAGCAAATCAAAAGCAATACCACATTTCAGAAGGAATTGCAGACATGCATGCCATCATCGAAGACTTGAAGGATGCAGGACTGGTGATTCCCACCACACCCCTATTCAACTCGCCTATTTGGCTTGTACAGAAGACAAATGGATCTTAGAGAATGATGATGGATAATCGTAGGCTTAACCAAGTGGTGACTCCAATGTCAGTGGCTGTATCAGATGTGGTTTTATTACTTGAACAAAGTAACAGGTCCTCTGTACCTGGTATGCCGCTATTGATCTGGCCAATTACTTGTCCTCCATCCCTGCCAATAAGGTCCACCAGAATCAATTTGTATTCAGCTGGTAAGGCCAGCAATACACCTTCACCGTCTTACTTCAGGGGTATATCAACTCTTCAGCTCTATGTCATAATTTAGTTTGCAGGGATCTTGGTTTGCCTTTCTCTTCCACAGACATCAGGCTGGTCCATTACATTGATGACATCTTGCTGATTGTACCTAGTGAGCAAGAAATAGCAACTACTCTAGATGTATTGGTAAGATATTCTTTTGCCAGAGGTTGGGAAATAAATCCAAGAAAAATTGGGGGCCTTGTACCTCCGTGAAATTCCTAAGGCTCAGTGGCCTTGCTGAGATATCCCTTCTAAGGTGGAGAGTAAGCTGTTGCATTCAACCCC